TACTCAACAACTGCAACGCCGTGTGTGAACACACACTTTCAGCTGATCTTTCACAGAAAAGGGCAGCAGACGCAACACACTCTTTTGATCGCGTCTGGCATGGGGTCGAGCGATCCAGTAAATGATTGTTGAGAGATCATGAGACTGGTGCCCCCTGAACAGTCAGGCTGGTCATCAAACCATCAAGGTTGAACAACAGGAAATCAAACACACAAACAGTCTGATGAACATCTGCAGGAGGAACTACCCAGTCAACAGATCAAGGATCCTCTCCCCAGGCCCTACGAGAACATGAAACACTTTGGCCACTCTGCAGGAACCGTACACCACCCCGCCTCCTGGCCTCTGTTCAGATCATTCCGCGACGGCCAGTCTGCGGGGTTTGCGTCCGTCGAGACTCGATCGATAAAAATCCTACAGCGGAGCCGCAGTGCACGTTCCCAAAATATAGATATGATCTCACAGACGTCTGATCTGCTCGAATAGCCCTTGATCAGGGCTGCTTCAACAGCTTCAGAGTCGATCAACAAAATAACATCCGCGTTTACGAGGCGATCGGCAAACGTTTCCAGTGCGAGCACTGGTGCCATCATCTCGATCGGGATGATTTGGGTTGATCTGTGGAGCCACTTTCTTGAAATACTCAAGGGAATCACTTCGGAGAACTGGCGGGGTTTGGTCAGTCTGCGATCGAACAGCACCGCCCCGACTCGGTCAGGGAGGCGAGTGGCGAGAGCCTCACGAGGATCAGGGGTGAAACCATCAGTAAAAATTACAACGTCTGCACGCTTCGAAATTTGTCGATCGATCGTCCTGGGGGGCCGGCTTCGATCAATACAAGCCACTGTTTGAGAGCCTCCCTTAAAGGTGGATCAAGACCGAATTTCGGACCGAGCGGCAGACGCATATACTGACGTTCCGAGATCACTCTTAAAAAGGCCCTACCTACTTTGCCCCAGAGCTGGGAGGCCCCGAACATAAGCTTTCCTTTGAGCTTCCCAGCCGTCCCCGGGTCTAACACGTCTGAGCTTAAAATGCCCTGGATCTCTGCGGTCAAATCACTCCGCCGATCGGGCTTAATTTCGAGCTGCATTTCACTCAGGTTGTAGGTCACCCCCAGGATCGTCGGGGACGAGGACAGCTGCAATTTCTTCTGGTCAAAATGAGCTCCGAGCCAGGTGTGAACACATTCGGCTGCTAAGCGAGCACTCTTCACTGAGCCGAGCGGTTCAAACCCATACTTGTCGTCGTAAAAACTAAAGGCTACGAGCTTAAACAGTTTAACCAGAAATTCGTTGATAGCAGCCGACCGTCGATTATAGTTATAGACCGCCGACACTAACCCGAACGAGTGACCGATCATGACGAAAAACGCAGGCTGATCAGTTTCAGGGTTCTTCAAACAAATCACTGAAAACTTTCTCTGATCAGGGCGAATGGCGACTTGACGATACGCCTTCCTCTCGTCCAAGACCCAACCGCCAAGCTCATCCTCTGGCAACTCCGAGCGGAGCCTCCTCAAGGCCGCCACGTTGGTGTCAGTGGAGGGGAGCTGCAGTTTCTCTGAGATCTCAGTGATTTGATTGATCAAATTTGTCGTGGCACTGTCACAACCTCTGACCTTGTTCTTCTGCACCACCTCAAACCTTTGTGTAGGGATCCAGTCATCACACTGCAGGAAGGAGGAGATCTCCTGTTCGGAAGCCCAGGGTCCTACACATGACCCTTCTTGGCAGTCTTCCAGAGTGGCCTCCCAGATCTTCTTGAGATTGTCAGTGACTGGGACCCCGTGAACACGAGACACAATTTTCTTGCGCAACTCCCAGGCCCGACCCAAAGCAACGTCCACTGGGACCACCTTCTGTGGCTTATCGTAAGGTGGCCACCGAGTTGAACAAGCAATGGGCCCCACGATGTTGAACCCGTGGACCAGATCATTGGGCAGGGTGCGATCGCACGAATTGCAGGCTTGGAGCATGGCTTCGTATAGAGCTACATGGCAGACTTGTCCCAACACTGGTGTCTGATCATCACCACACCCTTTGAGCAGTCGACGTAGGTAGGGATCAGGCTGGGCGTTGATCAGCCGGAGCGACGCCGGCAACAGACGGTGAGCTTCAGCTTCCCAGAACTGCAGAGCTTGAAGACGTAGGTGAACAACCTCCGACACGTTCGAAACCAAGCTGTCAATGCTAGCCGCGATCGCCGGCTCCAAAACGACTGGCAGAGTGAACGGGTGCGTCACACGCAGAGCCCAATTGATTGCTTGCCCCGGCTCCATCTCGATCTCGAGGAGCGGCTTCTGAGCCCCACGCTTGAGCTGATACCCTGCACGCAGGGCCGCTTGTGCGGTCTGTGCTTGACGATGACCCAACCACGGGCGTCCAGAACCAAGAGCTCGTTTCCGATCGGCAGCAGGGGTCGTCAACGCGAACGTCAGTGCCAAGTGAGCATCATCTTGTCTCCAGAGCCGGTGAATGCCGAGGGCCAGGACGCCACACAGAGCGTGAGGGTATTCTTGCGCCAGCTTGGTGCGAAACACCATGCGTTGTCGACGAGCGTCCCATACTTGCCCTTTGAGGCGCACATGAGAGTGGTCACCCGGGCAAGTTTTCCGAGCGTCATCCAGGAACTCCGACGAAACCTTCAAACGAGTGGGTTTCACAGAAGGAGCACCGAAAATGCATTGGTCCAGGTCCAAGTCGATCGCACGAGCCGAGCTGGTCAGGTGGCGCATCGGCGGGGTGAGCCAGATCAAGCTGAGCAGAGGATTCTCGATGGAGAAGTCGCCCCCCGTGAAGAAGACCACAAGAGCCAGTTCGACCGAGCGAGCCAGAAACATATTGCCGAGAAACACCAATGCAGCATTGTCGAGCGACAGAGTTCCAAGTCCCATAGGCTTGTCCTTGGAGCGTAAGGGAGGTGGTCCATTGTCGAGCTTCCGGGCAGAGCTAAAGGTATTGCACGGCGTGCCCAGGTGCACAAAGAACAACAGACCCGCATGAGCGAGCTTCATGATCCGCTGCCAGAACTGTGCATCAAGGACATCGGCAATCTCAGGCACCCATTCAGAAAGCTCAACATCCACCGGGGGCAGGACCGGCATACCCAGGAGAAAAACGTGTTGTGTCAGCCGAGCGGTTCCAGAGAAAACTTCTAGAAAGAAAGGTCCGTGAACACGTACGTCTTGGAGCCGGAGAGGGACCTCAGACCACGCCCGCCACGTCCGAGCCACTGGAGGCGACTCAGCCGCTTGGCCCCCATGAAAATCCCCCGGAGGTGGGGCAAGGTCCTCCAGGGGGGCTGCCCGAGCGTTCAGTGGTTCCCGTGCCAAGGGTGGCCTTGGCCACACTCAACACAGGCGTGCTTGCGCTTGCACTGATCACCAAAACGACAACCACTTGAGCAATTGTAGAAAGGACAACGGCGTGGACCTGAGTACTTGAAGGAATTGACCTTGGTCCACTCCTCGGCCGGGATCCGGGCATCACGAGACGGCTTGGGGCCGTTCGGCTTGTCTTTGCGAGCGCCTGTTGGAGCGCTCTGAGCCGCTTTGAGGGACCGGAGCTGTTCCTTGGCCCGCTCTCGGCGAGCTTTGTTCTTCTTAGCCTTGGCCGTCGGAGCCGGCGGAGTCCGCGAGCGCTGTCTCTTTGTGCCCTGACCACGTGGTGGAGTGACCGGGCTGGAGGACTGTCCTGCTTGCTTGAAGTCTGCTTGTGATCTGAGTTCAAACGGTAGACCTTCTTCCTGATCAGGGTGTCAGCGGCCAGCAACAAGGCGAGCCCCCTGTTCTCATGCCGCCACTCCTCCAAGTCTGACAGATACTGCAAGGGGCCCGCTTTGTATGAGAACTCACAAATTGTTGAGGTATTCGAGAGCAACAAAGAAGGCGTGCAGTTTGTCCATCACTTGGGCTTCGGAGGCTGCGTGAACTGGTTGATCAACCTGAACCACTTTCAGGAGGTCTTCCGCATTTTTACTCAGACCGGACTTCTGGGCGATCGACTCGTTGCGAGTGCGCATCTCGCCCACCTCATAGAAATTGACCGCCCCATGGACGAGGGAATCACGCTGGAGCCGCTCAACGAACTTGCGGTGTGGTTCCCTGTGGTGGGGGAGCAAAACATCTGGGTGTCGAGCGATGAACTGTTCACGAAACTCTGCGTGATCCTCGCCCGGGATTTCCGGGACTTTGGACGGATCCTCTTCCATCTTGGCCCGCCGAGCGGCAAAATGGTCCTGCATGGTAGAACATGTCTTCCACACCGCGGCTAGGGTGGTGAGAGCTAGTTCCTGAGCTGGTCCATCCGGCCCGAATTGTAACGGGTCAGTGATCATGGCTTTGAGGGTTTGCTTCACTGGGGCGATCGTATCTCCGAACATGGCGAACGTCTCGACCGTCAACAGACGAGCGTCGGCCACTGTCTTACACAGATCCGGCGGAACCCTTTGGCGCCCAAAGATCTGGCGCAACGGCAGGTCGGGCGTGTGATCAGCATCTGTGTAGGTGGTGCGATCCACCATGGCTAGTTGGAAAAACAAGGTGGTTCCTGGTCTTGAACAAGAGAACTCCCACATGTCACTCGAAAGAGAACGGAACAGCCCTGAGAGCGACCAAGCG